TTTTTTTTTTTTTTTTTTTTTTTTTTTTTTTTGCAGACCATTCAAAGAGAAACATCCATTGTTGTGCCATATCTATTTGTCACTGTTATTTTGATAAAAATTAATGATAAATAATAAATATTAAAACATTTTGAAGTGGTAAAGCGCAAGCATCGTCCAAGTTGTAACTTAGCATTCTTGATGTTATCGGTAGAACTAGTGGTATTTTGGTATAGTACTTTCCTACCAGGCATCTGACAAATAAGGTCAGGAAAATAAATAGTTACGGTACCACAATGGAAGCACTGTGTCAACTCATAGACCGTAACAATAGTCACAACCCCAGGGATTTAATGGCGCAGATTCTGCATATTTTACCATGGCACAGAAAATAGTTCTCACAGGGCGCTCACACAGGTTATTCCACTACCCCTATCTGGTCCGGTCCATGCTGACGTCATTAGTGCCAATTATAATAACGCGAGCACAAGTCCAACGAGTTAATTAAATTATCACCATTCAGCTGAATGCCTAGATTGGAAACTGTGCACAATGACCTCCTGGACATAAGCAGTTCGACATTTGCTTGTCTTTCAATTTTCCACCTTATATCGGTGTATTTTGTATATGCATATATGTAAAAAAAAGTAGTGTAGAGAGCCTGCAAAATTTGTCTGTTAACGTATTTATTTCAATGTTCATTTTTTCACTGATATAAGTTTTTGCAAGTCAGAAGTTAAATAAAAAAAACTGCTAATAGCTATTTAGCATGAGCGACACTGGCCCTGCTTCTGCCATCTCGTCTTAATACCAATCTGGTTCCCCGACACCTCTGTGCCATAATTTTATAACCTTAATTTCTCTTAAGATTATCATATAATCCCGAGATCGGACAATAACCATGTAAGTATGGCAGTAAGTATGCCCTGTGACGCAGAGAACGAGGGGAAAATATACCAACTCACACTGGTCGCCAGTCACACGGTGACTGAGTCTATCATTAAGGCGGTGCCTATAACAGATAAAGGCAAGACTAAGAAAGGGAGAACTGTTCGATGACTGGTGACATCATGGTTCATTCATGAATCTGTATTTCCTCTGCAGTGGTCTCCAAACATAAAACATATCGCTTTAAAGTAAAACATAAATACATTCACAGTACATGTAGTTTCTTCCAAATTTTCAGTCGTCTGTTTTGAGGATGAATGTATTTAGAAATGTTGGCTTCGTGTCTGCAGTGCACAGCGTACCAATCGGAAGCATCTGCTCCATGCATGTTATGGCGCTGTGCAAACCGCCACTATTCCCTCGTCTGGCCCAAATTTTGGCGTGCGGGTAAAGGAACATGGATATATAACATAAGTACTCGCAAACCCATGATTTGGCTTTGTCTATACGCACAAAGGCCCCGACCGTGGATGATACTGACGAAGACCAAACTGCAGAAGAAACGTCTTCTGCGTTCGTGCTGGGTTTCATTAGGGCGCGTGTCTTCTGACATTACTGACGGAATAGGACAACAATAATAATGGCGTCTATTGTTTCACTGTAGGTATTCATGAAAGACTGGCTTGTTGAGAAATTGGACGAGTCACTAAAAAAGGTCAAGATGACGATCGAAGTACAGAAACACATCAGAGGCTACCTGGCGCGCAAGGAGAAGGAACGTCTCAAGAAGGTAAGGGAAACATGGCACAATATGGCCACTTTTACTGCTCTATACTTAATATATTTTGCGTTACCTTAGACATATAAAGGGTAGATGATTGTTGACATGTGTGTTCTGCATTATTTTAATATTTAGGTTTTTTGTTTTTAATATATTTAATACGCCGTGTTGATGCCTTGATCTCGATGTTGAATACTGTATATAAAACTGGATTATATGTTATACTGTACTGATATTCAGTATTATAATATCAGGTAAAAATGTATTCTATTTTCTCTGAAAAGGATATGTTTCAGTTACACATAAACCTAGTTTACCAATTCTAGCTCAAAGAAACGGGTATACTACTCTGAAAATTATGCAAGTTTATAGTTCAGAGGATGTTTGGAAAAATCAAAAACAACCCCTATGCGTGTGATTTACATATATTTGTCACCTTAAAAGTAGACAGTTCAAGGGCAGTTTCGAAAAATACCATTTTCCCTTCTCCTACGATATTACTTTTAGAAAAAAATATGTCGCTTGTTATAATTTATGTAACTCCTGTATGTAAATGAAATCTCCATGTTAGTCGACAGGCCTGGAATTTCATCATATATCGGCATTTTCCATCTGATATAGGCGTGCGACCACACGTGATTAGCTTGAAAAAGCCACCTTAATAGGTGTAATGATTGCAATGGGATTTAACCCAGCTTTAAGGTTATCCCACAGATGTATTTATTATAATAACAAAACATATCACGACGCAGTTTAACATCATAAAACGAAATTCGTCTCAGTGTGTAAGGTTACCATGGATGCGGTATCGGTAAGGCACCATGTTGTTTCATTTTGTTCATACTTATGACTTGCGTCTGATCAAGGCTATTTAGTCAAACTAAGCGTCACCGTTTTTTTGAGTGACCCTCTTCCATTAGCGTCACATAGCAGTGTTTTATGCTGTAGATTTCTGAGGTGAGTCGGTGAAAATTGGTTTTCTGATGAATGTGAGAATTTGTTACATAAACGAAAACGCGTTATGTACGTGACACTGCGTGTCATTAGCCCGACGCTACCACGTCCACAATGTTAACCAAGGGTGTTGAGGAAGTAAATCTATACACATTTTATTGTGTACAATAATAAATTGGCCAGTCATGGTCATTGCGAAACAAGTAGACTGTGTTTAAGACAGAGACCCCAGTGTGTCCCACACATCTGTCACGTGATCAATATGACAGAGAAACCCTTAAGTGACGTTCGCATACTAATGAGGTATTAACAGCGGTCTTTACCCCAGCTAAGGCATATTAATGACTTTTTAACAGGGGAGGCATATGTGATGACACAGAGCCTGGCTGTTAACTCTTCAGTAAGGTACAAAAGCGTGGCAGTTTATTTAATTATGCTGTACATAGATAATCTGGTTATCTCATCAGATGCAAAGTGGATGTATTGTTAATTATGGAAAGTAGAAATTATCAGCTTTAAAGCTTACAGTGAATCGGGCGCAGAACCATCAGATACCACTCAGAAAGTCAGGGGTGACGGATCTGTTCTATATTTCACTCCTTTTTTCCAGGCGGAGGATGCAAGGAAAGAAAAGGAACGACTAGAAAAAGAAAGACAAGAACGAGAAAGAATGCAACGTGAGGAGGCCGCCAAAAAGCGCGCGGCGCCCACGCCGCCTGGTGAGAGGACGTCACGGCCCTCGTCATCCCTCGAGAAACCCTCTCGCTCCTCCAGTGCTGATAAAATATCCAGAGCTTCCATTTCGGATAATATTTCTGTCAATTCAAAGAACTCCAATGCAAAACTTCCTCGAAGTAACACGACGGGAAACCTCAACCACCCGTCGCGCAGTACATCGCTGGAAGACAACAGGCGACGCTCGACGACTCTTGAAAAGGGTTACTCGGCTGACAGCATGAAGCGCGCCATTTTGGACGGAGAAGTGAGGAGTATCGGGTCCACGGCGACAGGGAAAAGTTTAGATCGCAAAAGTCGCTCCCTTGAAAACGCTAACAAGAGAAGCTCGACTCTTGACAGTGGGCTCGGTGACACTCTCCCTAACCAGCCGTCTAAAGTCCGGCTAGATCCTAAATCTGAGAGGGGAGAAATTGACAGTATTTTTGAAGAAACAGCAACGTTTTACGAGGATGAAGATCTTAATGAGTAAGTCAGTGTAGTACTCACGGACGAATTTACACGTGATTTAGTTAGTACCCCATATCTATATTTCTATCTTAATTATCACCTGATCCAGAAGGTAAGGCATTGTGTAACATTATCTATCTTTTGAGTTCCTAATTAGCAATTCGTGTGATACGCCTTTCTATCTTTACATTCTCTTCGTGAATAGATGAATGATATTATGCTATGGAAAATCCTGAAATGGCGCTCAACGGCGCGTTTGTTTTTATGTAGATATTAAGGTAATGTACGCCCTTGACTTCACCGCAGGTATGCGCTGTTGCAAATTTCCGTCATAACTGTTTAAATCAGGCATTCATGTGATGAACAAACCCACTTTCACTTGACATACTCATAATTGACAAAATTTTGATGTTCGGACATGTTGTACTTTGTAATACAAACACAGAAAAGCGGTAAAAAGTCGTATTATCGGTAGCATATTAAACACATCCAAAATGTAAACATCTTACGGACCTTATATATGCAGTCGATTTTTGTCACTAAAGCCGAAACTAACCGCCAGGAGACGGGCTAAATTTTCTAATTGAGTAACTGAGAACTTGTTATGAAAAAAAAGGTAAATGAAATCCAGTTAAAATGATTTAATTTCTATGACCATTATCATGTGGATTACATTACATCTTACAGAGACCAGTGGGACGTGTTCCAAAGCATTCCAAGAGAACGCCAGAGCGCCAGCGAGAACTTTGAGATCGTATTGAAGGTCATCAAAGTGTTCATGTACATCTTTATCTTCTTGGTGGTGCTGGGGACGGCCGTGGTCAGCAAGCTCACCATTCTCTTGCTCACATCGGGGACTTTATTGACGACGAACCTTGGTGACTCCCACATGTGGGACGGCGGCATTGTAAGTGGTGTATTATACAAGCCAGGAATAGTGTCACCCGTAGAGGGCAGCACTGCTCAATGCCATATAGATGGCGTTCGTGTACAGAACCTATGCCTTTGCTGGACATTTGAATCGATATGTTTGGTTCTTTTTAACATCTTTTGGAAACATTTTGTATGTTTTATTTTTAGAATAGGCATTTTGAATATTTTGATTTAGCGATTGAAATGTTTCTGCTTGTTTTGTTTTTTCTCAGTGAAAGTTGTAACTTCTTTTTCCAGTTGCTGTTAAATTTGAAATTCTTTTTTAGACATACGACGAATTAGATGACCGGAATACAAGGATAACGCTGCTGATCGTCTGCGTGTGTATACCATATATCCTGTCATTTGTCACGTTTATCTTCAAAGCAATGTTTGGAAGCCAACCTTGGCCAAAACCGAAAACACTTATCGTGGTAAGTTGTGTTCAGTAACCCAATTAACTAACCCAATTAACTGCCCACTACGATTGTTTCCATTACTTTCTTTTATATTAAACATAATGCCTTCTGCTCTCCTAGTATTGGTTGTATTTATATCAGAATTGTCCTTTCCTACATTATCTTTTAGAAATGTTCACATATCATTCGGCGTTTCCGTGGGAATTTATACACCAAAAATGAAGAAAGAGGGAAAGAAAGAGAACAAAAATAAAAGAATTAAACAACACTATTATCAATATCTTTAATCTATTATTCTTTTTTAATTCCAGATTCTCACCATTGAGGCACTCCATTCCTTCGGACTTTGCCTTCTCCTGTTCAGAGTTCTTCCTACAATGGACATGATCCGTGGACTGATGATAATGGCAGCAGTATGCACAATGCCTGGACTCCTTGGCCTATGTTTTGGAAAGCCGACCAACAGACGGAAGGATACCAGCAAAGTGCAGTCCATCTGCATGCGTGTGCTGATGATTATAGCCCCGTTGCTGCAGCTCGCCGCAATCGCCATTATCATCCTGACCGGCTTCTCCTACCGCGACCCGTCAGACATCGGACTTGAACTACATAATATTGTGAATGGTAATAACAGTGAAACCAATGTGTTCAGCCGCGACAAGCCGGATGAAGACAAGTTCGCCTTCACGTATTGTGGATGGGAGGTGCCAGTTGCTCTTATCTTGGTGTCTATCTCCTGGTGGGAAAATTTCGCTGACCGTGATAGGAAGATTGGCAGGCTGTCAATCCCGTTGAGGAAATTCCGCGCTTCTCTTCATGGCGTGAGAGAAAAGTCTACCGTGATCATTTCCGTGTGGAAGTCCTGTTTGACCATTGCGTTCGCCTACCTTCTCCTCGCCATTAACAACGGCGGCTTTAAGCTGGAGGTTCACATCAGGGACGATGTCGTGTCTTTCTACAAGCCTTATGCAGAGTGGGAGATCGAACAATTCCGGGAAGAAGACGGCCAGAGGGTCGTCCCCGGTGACACCGCCAACGTCACTGATCAAACTGTCCTAACGGCCTATTTCGCTGGTTCCTCGCGCCACGCCCTTGAGACGATCGCCCCCTTCATCGCTCAGGCCGTGGGCACGTTCATCTGCTACTACTTTGCTCGTCTGGCCTGCAAGTTGTGCATGCAGAGAGTCAGCTTCTCCGCTCCACTGATGCTGTCCACGCCAGTCACCTTTGTGATCCTGTACCTGCAGTGTAAACTGGAGTTCATCTCCAATTACCTGACCGACGGTCTGTACACGTGGTCCTGCCCCGAGGCTGGAGGACAGATGCTCTATCTCCACTTTGGCTGCTTCTTCCTCTGGTGGGTGTCGGAGCTGATGATTGCCTGCCACATCTGGTTCCCACAGTCCGAGCGTCTGGCCAAGTCGGAAAGGTACTTGCTCTGCACCTTCTATATTGGTGATAACTTTTTGTAAACGCAGGTTTCTCGTACTCCTAATTCTGTTTTACTGCTGCATTAGTTTCGTGTCCTGAATAATCTTTCCTTGACAAAGCCGGTTGTTTTCTTGAAATTGTATCTAAATTTATATTAATTTTCATAACAGGAAATTTCCTATTGTAAATGCACTTCTTGTATCTAACGTGAACAGCGTTCTTACACAGAATATCTCGGGCCTTAGGCTATGATAAAATCTAAACCACTAAACGTCTACAGTACATATAAGCAGGTTATTTGTACCAACTCTGGTACTCGTCTTGGCACTTACTGCAGGAAAATCAATAGGCTTCTGGTGGACTGTAAAAATAGGAAAAGATGAACACTTCATAAAGATCCGACAAATGTTTTTCAAAAAAATCTCTGGGGATGGGCAGCTGTCAGCCCTCCCAAGAGCCTGTCCGGATTGTTCAAATGGTATTGTTGTAAATACTCTAAAACAACCCACGTTGTGTAGAAAGTAACCAAATTTACTCTTTTCCAGGCTTTTCGTTTTACCATTCTACTGTGGTGCTTTGATAGAACAGTCCCTGATGCTGAACAGACGTCGGCGAGATAAGGACATGATCTCGGTTGGTGACGGCCATTTTGAGTATATCGAAACCGGAACAACCATGGATGGAACTTCAACTTTGACCTCTCGTGGTACGAGCACCGAGGACTTGGAAGACAAGTACAAGATCACCGATGACGGCGTCGTTCCTAAGATCTACGCATGCGCGACAATGTGGCACGAAACCCGAAATGAGATGACGCAGTTGCTGAAATCCGTTTTTAGGTACTGTAGAGCAGTACAGACATATACATTGGATTAGGTTGTTAACTTAACGAAAGACAAAAGGAGCAAAAAAGTGAAAACAGCTTTTTTTTAATTTGGCCATTTTCTTTTCTCTAAATCGCTAAATTTACACTATTTTACTTTAATTCTTCCGCGTTTCTTTGCCTATTATTATTATTATTACTATTATTATTATTATAGAATGGACTTTGACCAGTGTGCCCGTAAGAATGCCCAGGAATATTTCGGAGTGAGAGACCCTGACTTCTACGAGTTTGAGAGTAAGTATGGCCGACACAAAACTGCATTAATTTGTCTTTTTTTTAAATCATTTACCAAAAATTATAGGGCTAAAATGCTTTCATTTATGTATGGAACATAGAGGTAGTTTATGCTTGCTCAACATTATTTTTCAACCTAAATAAACAAATTAGATTTAACATAATTTCAATATGGCGTGTGATTTCTGTTTTTAGCTCACATTCTGTTCGACGACTCCATGGAAATGAACGACAATGATGACACTGTGCCCAACGACTTCGTGCGCGCATTTATCGAGGTCATTGACCAAGCTGCCAGGTAAGCAGAGGGGGTTCTGTGACTACGCAACTGACACACCTATTTAGTGACGCATGCCACCACGTGACTTAAACGCCTTATCGTAGTACCATGGGTGTCACGTGTCGTGGTGACTTGGTGTACTCACTGTTACATCACTATACACAGTGCAGTCGGTGAGCTGTCGACTTAGCTACAGACCTAGCACGGAGTAGGTCTACATCATATTTTCATCGTTTGCTTCGTCTTAAGATAAAATATGCCTTAAAACCCATTCAGAACAACAGTACCGAATAATGTATTTTTTTGGTCAATAAGATAGAAAACCGTCAATCCATATGCTGTTCTCTTCCAGCTCTGTGCACGAGTCCGTAATCAGTCTCCACCCTCCAGAGAAGATGCCAACACCGTACGGCGGTAAACTGGTCTGGTCGCTGCCTGGAGGAACCAAGCTGAACGTCCACATGAAGGATAAGAACAGAATCAGGCACAGGAAGAGATGGTCTCAGGTAAGGAAACTCCTCCACAAGCAAAATACATTGAGGCAAACTGTTTGGTGAAATGTCTGAAATATTAGTTTCTTTATTTCAGTTTATGTATTTTGACAACATCATAGATTCCTCAGAGTGTGTGTTATTTTTTCTATGAAAAAGTAGAACTGATTGGCCCATTAGTTGTCCCAATTGGAGAAATAGCATTAAAATTGGATAAAATTTTGATTTAGAGTGGACCCTTTTTAGTCTAACAGGGCGGTTCTCTCTACCGCAAGCCGTACCCCCCTGCCTACTAGCCCGTTCCTCGTTATCATGTTTATGTACTTTTTCAGGTGATGTACATGTACTACCTGTTGGGTTTCAACCTGATGGCCAAGCGTGAACAGTACTTGACCAGCCAGAAGGGAAAGAACAAGAAGAAGGGGAAACGCGGCACGTGGGAGAGTAAAGCTTTGAGACGCTCTCACAAGAACCAGCACTACACGAAGACGGACATCTTTGACGACTACGACGAATCTCTTCACATTGCTGTAAGTAAAGCATTTAAGCGATAGTAGAATCTACCCATAAGAGAGGGTGCCCAGTTTTAACATATGTGATTAGTGGCGCCATCTGTTGGTGAGAGACGGTAACGAAACCTGTGCTCTATTTATGACTGACTGTCACAGTCTTTTTTAAGCCTGAATACGTATTTTGAGACGCTCGGTTAATTGAGATCAGCAGCATTGAGAATGAAAAGTAATTATCAACACAAGTGACAAATACATTCATTATCGAAGACATATTCAGCAAAACACACTGTTTTTGTATTCAGGCTGAGAACACGTTCTTGCTGACCCTGGACGGAGACGTGGACTTCAAATCGGACGCTGTCCGCTTACTGATGGACAGACTGAAGAAGAACAAGAAGGTCGGAGCGGCTTGCGGACGTATTCATCCTGTCGGACAAGGTGCGTGCACGAGCTGAATCCAAATAACTTTCAACTTACACTGTTTTCCTTTACATAACGACCTCTCGTCAATCAAAATGTTAAACCAACGACTTGTTTAAGTATCTAGTAATTTCCTTCGAGTCATAAACAAATGTTCAGTAGCAATTATAATTTATGGCACTAGAATCAAATCAGTGAAGTTAATCTCTGTTCGTGTTTTTTCTCCCCCAGGCCCCATAGTGTGGTTCCAGCAGTTCGAGTATGCCATTGGTCATTGGCTTCAGAAGGCTGCAGAACACATCTACGGCTGCGTCCTCTGTGCTCCCGGATGTTTCAGTCTGTTCCGTGGTTCCGCCATCATGGACGACAATGTGATGAGACAGTACGCCACGCGGGCCTCGGAGGCTCAGCATTTCGTGCAGTTTGATCAGGGTAAGTCATCCTTTAGCACTAGAGACCGGTTTGGCAGGAATGGTAGCGTCAGAAATTTAAGCGCTGGGTACCAAGGTTAGGGTTATCCAAAAATATCAGGGTCAGTATATGGGGCAAATATCACCTGTAAAAAAAATTGAAAATAGACTACCATACGTAGCGAACTGCCTTTCCTGTGACACCGGAGTGACGGGATATTTGGCCTGAGATGTATGTTTCAGATAGGAGGTTGAGCCTTTTTTTAAGATATGCATTATGATTTTATTTCAAAGAAAAAATGTTCTACTCATAATTACAACGTGCATTATGATCTTATTAATAAAGCAAAACAAGTAAGGAAAGAGGGGAAAAAGTGAATAACGAACCCTAAATTCATGAATATTAATACTGTTTATATCATAATTCCAGGTGAAGATCGTTGGCTGTGTACGTTACTCCTACAGCAAGGATACCGTATTGAGTATTGTGCCGCCGCCGACGCCTTAACCCATTGCCCTGAAACCTTCAACGAGTTCTTCCAGCAGAGAAAACGGTGGGCTCCCTCAACAATGGCCAACATTGTGGATCTGCTGCAGGATTACAAGAACACCGTCATCGTCAACGATAACATCAGCCACCTGTACATGTTGTACCAGTTCTTCTTGCTGGTGTCCACTGTCCTTGGTCCGGCCACTGTTATGATGACCATCGCTGGTGCCTTCAACGCTGTACTCAAGACGAACCTGTGGCAGTCCTATGCTCTTTCTCTTGGCCCGCCGTTCTTCTTTATCCTAATTTGCCTGTTCACGCGCACCAAGACCCAGCTAGCGGTAGCCAGTATCCTTAGTGCGTTGTATAGTGTCATCATGATGGTTGTCATTGTCGGTACCATAATTAACGGTGTACAGGAGTCGTTCACGTCGCCCAGCGTAGTTTTCATAACACTGTTGGCGGCGTTCTTCTTGCTCGCAGCGTTCTTCCATCCGCAGGAGTTTGCGTGCATCATCCCGGGTCCCCTGTACTTCCTGTGTATTCCCGCCGGCTACCTCGTGCTCACGATTTACGGCCTGTGCAACCTGAACAACATCTCGTGGGGAACACGTGAGGTGCTAAGTAAGCGTCGCCAGAAAATCGCGGACGAAGAACGAAAGAAGAGAGAAGAGGAAGAGAAGCAGAAGAAGAAAAAGAACTCGGGTCTTTTCGCCTGGCTGGGACTGACTCAGATCATGGAGGACGTCAAAGACTTCTATCTGCAGATGATAGGAAGCACAAGGCAAAGCGGTCAACCAGCCCAGCAGACCCAGATGGAAAAACTTCTCATAAAACTTAACCAGACACTGGAGAAGCTCCCGGAGAGAATGCGCAAAGAACAGGACCGTAAAGCTGGGCTGCCGACTTTTGACAGCGACACCGACCCCTTGGACGACATGTACGATCCCGACCCACATCTTCCACTGGAGCGCATGCTTTCTAAGAAAAAAGGAGCAGGGGTCACGGACGCCATTAGTATCCAGATTCCAGAGAGTCACCATCTCAATCATCTCAGTCCACACAGCCAGAAACACGATCATCTGAGTCCATCCAGCGAACACGAACACGAGGTTATCAAAGACGCTATGGAGGACACGTGTTGGATGTATGACCCCGCCTTTGGAGATGGACCCATTTCGAACATCACGTCCAAAGAAGTCCAGTTCTGGCGGCAGTTCATCAAGAAATACCTCTTCCCCATCAATGCTGATAAAGAACACGAGAAGAAACTGGCTTTGGATTTGAAATCACTGCGTGATAACGTCGTCTTTGCTTTCTTCATGCTGAACTTCTTGTGGATCATCATCATCTTCCAGTTGCAGGTGCTCCAAGAGGAGCTCAAGGACGTGATTTATATCCAACTGCCTAGAGCTGATGGCGGAGTGGAGAAGTTTGAGCCCCTGGGTCTTGCCTTCTTGGCTCTTTTCGCCTTGATCTTGATTCTCCAGTTTGTTGCTATGATCGTTCATCGATGGGGAACCTTGCTACATCTGATCGCCATCACGGAGGTGAGAGTGTTTGGCACGGGGAGGGACAGCTACACCACAGACGTCCAAGAAGCTATACGGATTAGTAAAGAGCTTCAGAAAATCAAGGGCATCAAACACGAGGCGGTGCCAGACGAGACGGTTGATAATGATACCATATACGAGTCTCTCGCCACCATGAACACGGACAGGACGGCAGATACCAATGCGACACGGGAGATCCCCAACCAGTTACAGGAGAATCTACGCATGCGCCTGACGCAGCTTAAGAAGCATGAAATTTCCAACGCATTGGGAGGACGCCGTCCCACAAGGATGCACCCACTAGGTGGCGACACGTTGAAGAAAGCTTTCATGACGCGCTTAACCAAGCTTCAAAGAGACTTGCATTTGAATGAGAGAGACGTTGCTCCTAATACACATGTTATTAATATAGGCCATGATTATGGTCCAGTATATCTTAACAAAAATGGTGGCGGTGCAGGAGAAAAGGAAGAGGGAAATGAATTATTCCGTACTCTGAGGAGAGAAATTGCAGACAGACGCAGGCGACGTCCTGTCCACGACGTTTGGGATAAAAATTAATTTTGTGAACACATTCTTTTCTAACCATTAGGTAAAAATCTTTTTTGAAAAACTTTTGGGAACAATTTATCATTGCCAATACAGGACAATGTCAATTAAATCTGCGTTAATTTACAAAACTAACTTTACGTGTGAATGAGGTCCTATAAATGTAGCTGGTTTTGCCATGCTTCTGCTTTCAGTGAATCTGCATGTGCCAAGGTCTGTGAACTAAACAAACATTAGGATGCATTTTTACTTTATTTACGCTCGGGAATTCGGGAATTATTTATAATAAGCCGAAGGGAAAGATGTAGCTACATTTGTAGGGCTTCATTAAATTGTGTGCTTGATATTTATGTGAATTGTATTATAGCGTTAAGTGTGAAAGGAACAGTTAGGAGTGGAGGAAATAGAATCTCAGAAAAAAAAGCAATGTTAACGATGTATGAGTAGGAATCCTGATTAGGAGCGGCATGTCTCTGTCAAAGAGTCCCAATCCCCATTGTCATGAGGTATTCCAGAAACTTGAGGGAGGGAGCCTGTCTCAACCAAATGACGACGACGGGGTAAATTATTAAAAAAGAAATAAAAAGTCTAGTTACTCAGCTTTGTGATGTTAAGGGTGACGGCTGTTTCAAATAAAGAGCAGTTAATTTTTATGATATCGTGTTTGCTTTTTTTCTTCCTATTAACAAATATTTTAAAGGGTGGCGCTGAGAAAAGAGTTGGAGAGAACTCGGACTTTTGTCTTTTGCTGATACTTAAATATCAACTTACTACAAAAATTATTTTAAGATTTTATTTTTAAAAAGACCATTGAAACTGATATTTTTTTTTAAATTGAAACGTGGTTTCCGTAAAAATTACCTGTTTTCAAAGTGCAACGTCTTAGATGTAATTATATTGGATTGTTTTTTAAACGTTTTAAAGTTGATACTTTCAAGATACATGATTGAAGCCATACAAAATACCCTGCAGCGTATATAAAATATTACAGCTTCTCTCTAGCACAAGCTAAGTAAACCCCGAATGCAAAAAAAAAAAAAAAAAATACGAAATAAATTTCTGGCACAGCAGAAAAAAGGTTTTGAAATCTCAAATTTCTACTTGTGAATATGACCTACTATTTTCCCCTCCAACAGTAGGGTACAGAATATAAGCAGAAAGTGTATTTGTAAATGTACATTTTTGCGAAATGATGTAACGAAACTCTTCAGTATTTCTTTAAGTGATACTCTTTGAAACAATAGGGTGGCATTTCATTTAGTGGATTTAAAGACACTGATTTGGCAAAAGTAATCGCTTAATATGGATATTTTTTTAAAATTTGTTCAAAATTACATATTTTGTCAAGTAAATGCGACAGCGCCGGTTACGGACACACCTGTAGCACGTGTCGTCCTCGCAATGCACTGGCATAGCAATCACATAGCCATGTTTTCCTTTTTGTGCTGTGTTATCTGTAACTCCTACTTATAAATACCTTGTTATTTAAATGGACAATAGACTTAAACGAATACGGAGATTATCGCTCTATAGGTTATTAATTAAAAGAGGCAGGAGGGTTGGCGGGTGGGTAAGGTATAGATCAATACCAATGGACCTACTGAACTGCAAAAAGATTAAGAACATTTGTAGTATGCGTCTAACATAATGAGGTGCAGAAATCGTCAAATCAATGGGATCAATATTCTACAGGTAGCGCACAGGTTAGATAAATAATTATGCAGTGTTGTAAGACTTATAAAATAACCGTAATATTACGCGACTGGCTGCTCGAGAGCAAGTCAACTGCGAAAAATTAATAAACTTTCCTTGCACACGGAAATCCATTGTAAAGAATGCGACAAAATTAGCCTTAATTTGAAATGCTCACAGACTGATCCATTCAACTTATTTAAGTTTCCCGTTAACTAAATAGACCTTTCGTGACCTGCGCCTGTTTACGTTTTGAGTGACGACCCTCAACACTGCGCCTTCGCTCCCGTTCACCACACAGCTCTACGAGTCAACTTACGCCAAAGGTAAACATTTAAGTCAACTGTTTCACAAGTAACCCCTCATTTGAAAACACCGTCCATTGTGTGGGAGAGAAGGCATAAAGCCCGTATACATGGCTCCATTGCTACGCTCTGCTGAAGCGGGCGCGGTTTGAAAGAAATAGGTAAAATTTCCCACACTACAGATTAATCAAGATGGCGGCGGAGGGGGAAAAACAGAGGGTGGTGTCAACTTTAGAGTCACAGGAAGGCTTTTTTTACCGATAAAAGCCAGCACGCAAGAGGACATTAAAAACGCTGATAAGTTCCAACCTAACAATCAGGTATGAGACGTAATGTGTGGCTTGAGTTGTAAAGTTATGCGTTTGAATGGTGATAACTTCTAAGATAACGAAATCTTCCCGTACTGAGACTGGCACTTCGTGTGTCTACTCACGACAGCAACCGATATAAGAGAAAGAGGGGTCGGGACAGGGCGGGGCTACCAAGACGACCCCTGGGTGGCAGTATGGGGTGGGGTTTTCAATGAAATGTTCCTATTATTTCTTTATTATTCTTGTCAATCTGCTAAGTATAAGGTATCATCAAGAGTGAAGAGACGTACAATGTATGCCTTTACCTGTACGTAACTGCGTTGTATTAAGTTTTTGGTGCCCTTATCCCAGATTTTTCGTGTTTATCTTGGGTCTTGTAAATGCCCTTAGATACTTCACTCAAAACCATTGAATTCTTTAAAGAATAGCTCAACAGGGAAGTAACGGAATATATATATATGTATGGGATATATGTCAGGGAGGCGTGTGAGCTGCATTTTTAGTTTCCAACATTTTTGTTTTCAAAATGTCTGCTCGTTGCTACATCTTTAATGGTATTGACAAGGGACAGTCTACACGTACATGTACATTTCAGACCAGTATATTGAACCGAATATAATGTTGTATAGAAAATCATTTCCTATTCAGGCTTGTTGCTAGCAACTTTAAAGGGGGGGGGGGGGGTCGGGGTAATTTTGTGAAAAAGGAGGACTTTTTATCTGCAAACTTACATATGCCTCAGTACTGGCACAGCACTTGGATCAGTTTTTGATTCAGGGCGGATCTTATCAAGACCAAATTAGCAATGTCTTCGACCCTACGGACCTCCTTCTCCCTGAAACGGCCTGACAATGTCACTGACAGTCAGTTGACGTTTAGTGTCAGTCGGTTGACGTTTATTGCGGCAGATGACAATGATTGTCAGTCACTTGACGTTTTTTTTTTTTTTTTTTTTTTTTTTTTTTTTTTTTTTTTTTTTTTTTGTCAGTTGGCACACGGTGCGGTGTGTTCTCCTTCAAGACCCATGTAATACAGTAACAACATTATAACAGAACTGAAAACTGTAAGAGGCCAATTGGGTCATGGCTTTTTTTTTTAACGGATTAAGCCAGAGAAATATCTGTGAAAAGGTCTTTCTAAAGAAAGAAATACTCTCTTTGATCCTGATAAAAAGTAACAGCACAGGGTGGATGGTATATAGTGGTTATGGTATATGGTGGTTATGGGGTCCTCTTTCCTACTGGTATTTACTAGATTTTTTAATGAGGACTATCACCATCACTGCATGAAAACATATTAGCTTGCTTTATCTCTCTGTCTGTCTGTATTTCTGCTGTTAATGTATTTACGGTAAACTTATTCACGAAATACACTCATAAAGGTCAGCCGATACTTTTTTCAAATGGAATGATAATAAGCCCTTCATTGTTATCATAACTATAGTTTTTATCACAAAAAGCCAGGTATAAAGTGGCATATCTTTTATCAAGTAGTTTACCGCGTTTCATTCATACCTGACATTTACGCCTAAAGTCCTGTTTCGTTAAATATAGTGTCGAGTGAGATCTTCGTCGATAATAAACGTAACTTAAAGAGGGAAGCTTATCTCACGCACAATCCGGTATGATTTTAGTAACGTAGCGTGATTGGTTTTACTTCACTCTCTTTCGCAGACTTCGTCCTCTGCAATAATTCACTTCTGGTTTCAAAATTACACTTTTGTCAACAACTTTGTGACAATCAATATGAACACCTTGGCACCTTGGTTTAAACCGCATCCACTTTTTACGTTTCAAAATATATCTGAAAATATTAAAATAGATTCCGTGTGCTTGCCGCGTGGCAGGAGAGTACGTTTGTGCAAGCGACTAAAAGGCTTGAGACACGTGTAGGAGGCTGTTCTTAAGGAAGGAGGGCGCGTACAGATGGCTGTACAGAGGGCTGGGGCAGACAGGGGAGGGCAGCAGTGAACGTCTGCATGGCCTGATACTACAGGGACATCTATACCATCAGCTGGGGACTACAGTGACCACTGCCACCCTGCCACGGGCTGTAAAGTACAGTGATGGCCAAACAGTGACTGAGAAGAAAAAAGAGCTCGCTCTCTGTCAAATGTTTTATTAACTAAACGTTGGTGAAGAGATGGAGTTGCAACAGCTCACCTTTAGTTAACCCCGCCACAAGTGCTAAGGCTCTCCGCGGCGTCCTCGCGTGTGACATGCAGCTTATATGGACAGAGCTGAACAAAGGGCAGGTGGTGAAGAAAACTGACAATGGATAGAAGACGTTTTTCCAAAAGAAACTAGAAAAAGAAACTGGGAATTACAAAACTGGGTGACATTTTACGGTGACGTTAGCCAGTCTGTGACGTTGGATTCATGAAGAGTCCAACACTAACATTTTACTTGCATACGTAAATTTCGTATTGTTGCACATAGAGGAGAGAGCTGCTAAGTAATATGGTTCCTGGAGTGAGACATAATAACTGGGTCTTTAATAAGTGTTCCGTTCACCACGGCAGTATTGACAGAACACCTGCCATGTTACAGTGAAATGACACGACTGTAGACTAAAAAATCAAGATCGGAAACGGAGCAGACATTGAGTGGGAAGACAAGGTGTAAATGACGATTGGTTAACCCATAATTTGACGACACTATTTTTGTTGAGTTACCATTCACAAAAGAGGAAGAAGAATAAAAAGATCCGAGAGATATGCCGCATACCTGCCCAAAATCATGAGTCTTTTCATAAAAAAATAAAAAAAGATCCGTTGAAAGAAATGCAATGAGAGAAAAAGAAGATCTGAAGTGACGAGCTGACTGTCAGCGCATTTTTCTTAACTAAACTGAAAGAAAAAAAATTACCAGTTGTGATTCATCGCCAGAATTTGAAAGATGTACCTGCACTGTAGACGTAAACAACCTAAAACCACCAGTTGGTGATACGATGCCGCAGTGAAGAATTACCCGATTCGTTTTTATCATACACATTTCGTTGTACTCCACAGTCTGTGCCATTTCTTTACGTGAAGTCTCGTTACTTGACACTACCAGCATGCTCAGGTGATTCTGCACATCGCCTTTGAAAAGAAACAAAGCATGCCAAAGGGCGGAATGTTTAAAAGACAAGGACAGAAACATAAGGCGGTCGGCGGTGAGTAAACGATGACACATTCTTATGGTAATTAAAGTACGCTCACATCTATGGTCACATCCATTACAAAATCAGTACCATATATATTTTTGTTTTGTTTTATGACGTACTCAAAATGGGACACGGACTTAAGAAAGAGAAAGAGAGAGAGAGAGTGGGGAAAGAAGGGGGAAATTTTTGGTCAAAAGTAAACTGGATAAGCCTTTGTCTTACCTGGGTCAATCTCAAAGCCAAATTTGTTTGCTGTGAAGGTTTTCCTTATAATGCTTGGTGGTAAACAAATAACGCTCACTGAAATCTTGTCAAGTGTCGTCTGCCAAATAACATGATGACCATAACTGTTACAAAAATGTACGTTCCATCGTCAGTTCTCTAGTATCAGATGAGTTGGACTGATTGCATTAATTACGTGTTTTCTATTACACAAATTGCGTCTGTACAGTAATATTTGAATAATTTTTCTTTAAGGTATAACTGTAGTCCACTTTTAGACGAGTTTACATGTCTGCGTTCTACTGACATTGCGCTGGTCACTACCTTCTTTTATTTTTTTTCCTCTCCAGGCTCTGTATTATCTAAGCTATCTGGGGGTCAAGCGATGACTAAGAATTATTTATCGCTGACCAGTTTTAACTAGACCTCAGGTGCCAAGTGTGCGCTTTTAAATGTGCGTTTACATTATTTCCAAATGGACATACATGTTCGAAATATTGTGCTCCATTTTAGAAAAAAAAAGTTGTCAGACGACAGCGTTCGTAGATTTGCCTACGAAATCAAATGTGCAATGAAGTGGAAATAGGAATATCACATTGAGGTCCGAATCAGAGGAGATGACCCGCCGACAGGTGGAGTGTACCAGGGCTGGTCAGAAAAAGTAGTCCGCAAGTCATTTTCCCTGTACTACGCACAGATGGCATTCATCCCATATACTAACCCCGATAGGTCCTGCACCCAGCTTACTCTAACCCGTGCAAATCATATGGGGTCCCGGAATTCCATTCCTAGGAATACAATTCCTGTCACACAGGCTAACCCTAACTTGTTCAGGGGCGGATTTAGGCCGTCTTCTGGGTCTTCCGGAAGACGTTCAGATTTTCAAGTTTACATTGACAGGCATCTAATTTTTTCTGTCGGAAGACGGTCAAAAATGGAGGATGGATCAACAAAGATAGTTTGGAAGACTGTTAGAAAATATCTCTGGATCCGCCCCTGATTGTTCTAATCGTACGGGCCCAGGAATTCCATCCCTACGATTATCGTTCTTGTAAAGGCTGTGGAGCCCTTGGCCTGGAAGCGCAGGTGCAGAGATAAGCAGGGCAAATGTCAAATGTCAAATGTCGTCTGCTTGTATTCTATTCTCTAGTGGAGAGACAGTGATGACGATCAGCAAACTTTATTGACGTAATCACAGACTTGGGCTGTAAACTTATATGTTTCTCAACAGACACTGGTTTGTTGTCTCTCCCCCCCCC